ACTAATTGATTTTTTATGTTATAAAAAATAGATATATGATTGATATACTTATCTGAAACATTTATTCTATTAATCAAGTTATAATAGTTCTTACTTTCACCTATTTAATCTAAATTTTAATTCTCATACTGATAAATGTAGCATTTATCTTCTTTAGTTATAGTCAATTATTATTACAGATATTTTAAATACATTATTAATTATAATTTTTTTTTTATATAATTTCAACAAATAGTCCGCGCGAACACAAGACACGCAACTTATTTCTTTAAATTAATAAACATCGATGAGATATGCCGTAACGGTCAAAACTATCTCGGGTGCTTCTATATAATGCGTGTGAATTTATATACTACGTATGTAGATTCTTAAATGCGCGCCGAAATTTTTTTTAGACTTACAAACTATAATAATAAACTACTGTATTATACTATCACGAATTAAATTGACTAACAATCTAACAATTTTGATGCTCGTAGCATCTTGGATCTTAATAATGTTGAAAGACATATTAAAATCTATGAATGACATTAAAAAAATCTGTGAATATAATTAATTTATATTATTTCTTTAAAATAAAGTAACATTATGTGGAATTATTCTACATTTGTTCTACACTTTAAAAACTTTGTAAACATTATATGTATAAATATTATATAAAGTATTTCTTATCACTGACATTTCTTTACAGAAATAAATCTTAATATCTAATTCAAACACATTGTATTAAAAAATTCAATCGTATTTAAAAAATAATAAGATTAAGATTTTTAATTATTATATTTATTTTAGCCGATATCAACGGTAATTATTACATGTACATTTTAAGAAAGTTATAAATTGTGAAATGGTAATGAAAGATTATCATCTTTTTTGCGTTGATTTAATTAGATTAAAGAATCTTGTATAGAGAGAGAAATTATCTAGTAATTTAATTAATGTAATCTCTTACTTGATTATACTCTTCCCTGATTACAAAAAAAATGATGTAAATATAATAATCTATATCGTATAAATCTTAATTAAAATTAAGTTAAATTAAAACTCTAATTGTAATTTATTATTTCCTTTCCTTTGTTTACATCATCGATAAGACTGCGATTTAAAAACAAATTAAAAATTAATAAAATATTTAAAGTTATATAATCTTTAAAGAGAAAATGTTATTATTATATAGAATGAATTGTATTTTATTATATTAATTATATATATACACACGCGTTCGCACGCACGCACGCGGTGTTTCGCAAGAATTTTCCAATCGCGTACAGAAAGGTAGATGGAATCGAAAACCGAGAGAAACACCTCTCAAATTGTATGAGGCCATAAGTGGCAGTGAAAGAGTACGTTTCACTAAACGACCACACGAACGCGGTTGTTATATGGAACGGGTTTGCTTTGCAGGCGTTGCGAGCATTGCGGGCGTTTAGCGGAACGCACCCTATAGTCCGGATCTACAATAGAGTTTTAAGCTTTAAGTCATAAGAAATGGACGAATTATAATCGGTTATTCTCCTTGAATTCGACTGTAATTGGTTCGCAAAAATTCTCGTAAGTGCTTTGATACGCGTATATCTGTATATATAGAATCTCGATTTAATAACTTAAACAGGCGTCTAAGGTAGGCTTCCACTACAATGCCTTAGCCTTACTGATGAGTCCAGTAGTGGAAGTTGGGACGAAACGCCATAATTACGTAATATTTTTCGCAATATATTAGATTAATTTAAAGATTTTAACGAAAATTATTAGCTCATTGCCCTTATCACTTTATATTAGTTGTTTAATACATATTGAGCCTTATCACAAACATTGTAATTGGTTAATTTCTTACAGCTTAAGGCTTAAAACACGTATTGTAGATCCGGGGATGTGCCTTCCAACAAGCGACATAGTACAACACAGTGATCACCTCATTCTTGTTTAACATTGACAAACAACAAAGACGTACTGATACATCGTGTCATCTGCGTCGCTTGTTGGAAGGCACCCAAGGCTATTAAGGTGAAAAGTGTAAGGCACATGAGCAACAGCGCGCTTCCCCTCTTGCTTCTTCAATGCGCGCTGTCGGCGCAGCCAATGATTGATACACCAGGCTATACCTCGACCAGAGGAGCGTTTCTCTCGGCATGCTCTCATTAGTACAATTGCAAAAATTAATATCTCGATTATTATTACGAATATCGCTAAACAGTATAAGACTTTTGTGTTTATTTCGATTCCATCTGTCTTCCTGTGCGCGATTGCAAAAGTCTCGCGAAACACCCTGTATATATGTATATGTCTTTAAATGTATACATAGGGATCCCAGGTTTATGGGATCACCTCTTATGAGCAGGTACAACAAATTAAACTGAGTTAAAAAGTCGTCTACCATTTTGAAATTTTTGTAATAATTAATGAGATATTAATTTTTAAAGATCGCCAAATAAGTATGTATCTGCCCGGTTTCAAATGCAAGTACGTGGCGTGATACAACTGCCCAACGCGAGGAAATATTTGTTTCACCATTCATGCATTACTCCAATGCCATTTCTAGTAAATACTTGCCAAGATACCTATAGCAACTATGTGATAAAAGATAATGCTTTTTTTTTTTTAAGAATAAAACATCGTTTTTTTTCAAACATGTTTTTAATTCTTTATATATGCTTTACCCCAGATCTACAATACGTATTTTAAGTCTTAGGCCATAAGAAATTAATCAATTACAGTCGAATTCGAAGAAAATAATCGACTACGATTCGTCCATTTTTTAAGGCTTACAACTCTATTGTAGATCCGGACTTAAACAATAAAAAAGCATGTTTAAAACATGTTAAAAACATCGATTAAATATGTTTTAAACAGTTTAAAACATGTTCAAACATGATTTTCATCATCCTGCTAGCATGATGGTCTTATCTCGCCATGTGCTTGTATTTGATAGACCGTGTTATTTGAAATCTTTGAAAATCAATATTTCATTAATTATTACAAAAATTGTAAAATAGAATTTTTTATTTAGTGCGTATGTTTAGTCTACTCGATAGAAACCTTTAAGAAGAAAATCGCCAATTTAAGGTGCAGCCACAATAGAAGGAATAAGGAATAAGAAATTTTAACCTATCAGAAATCGGATACATTGGTATACATAGTTTCTGATAGGCTAAAATTTCTTATTTCTTATTCTTAATTCCTTATTCCTTCTATTGTGGCTGCACCCTTAGTCATGTGACCAATTGCTTTATATGATTGATTGGCATCAATATATACGGAATAGCTGGGCACATCAGTCACATGATCAAGTTGGTAATTCTCTCTTCTAGGCTGCGTTCGAAAACATCACCCGAGTACCCCCGTGTATCGTCTTATCCTTATTGTTCACCCATGTTAAACGAGGATAAGACGATACACTGAGGCACTCGGGTGATGTTTCCGAACACAGCCCTAGAGGTTCTCTAATCCACTTTACTATCTGTTCATAAGAGGTGCTTTCTCAAGTAAGGGACTACACAGAATAAAAGGAACAGAGAATAAGAATTTCAACCTATCAGAAATTATGTACTGTGAAATATACAGTTTCTGATAGGTTTCTGAAATTCTTATTCTCTATTCTCTGTTTCCTGTTCCTTTTATTCTGAGTAGACCCTTTAAGAGATGCGCGAATTTCGAGCATTTGCAAGAACAGAACTATTTTCATTCCAATACCACAGTAGCATTTGATTAGGAGTATTTCGGACTGTGACATTACAAACAGATACTATGATCAAAAATGATATTTCACTGCCACTACGGAAACACGAATAATGCTTGACGGTATATATGAACCAGAGAACAAAGGTAGTGTCAGCCTTAGCGATATAATTATTTGAAGGGGATACCGTTGATAATGACTTACCATAGCATGTAGTAAGTCGGGGATAGGGTGTAAGGTTGCTTTGCTTTTTCAAAAAAGAATAACAGAATTTTAGGTTTTAGGACATTTGGAATACGGTTGCGCCATTGGTTGCGTTATATTCTTGTAACGTCGCCATCAACAAATTTCGTAGCGATTTCAATTCGCACGTCTCTTACTTGAGGATCTTTAGTGCTCTCGTAAGTTCGAAACACCCTGTCTGTGTGTGTGTGTGTGTGTGTGTGATCAGTCACACTGTAATCACAAGTAGTCAATTAAATTGACACCCAACCTCTCATTTTAATTGATTACTTCGAATATTTCTTGAACAGTACATTTTCAGAGTTGAGACACATTCAGAATCGAGCTAGCTCGATTGTTGGTTGGACCACAACGCTTGCGACGTTGCGATGCAACTAATGTAGAACCAGTTTTAGGGAAAATGTTTCATCCAAACGTTTTATAATTTCAAGAAAAACATACAAAAAAGTATCATCGGTATGATCTAAGATGGCATTGTCGAGTTCAAGACAAGATTACTTCGAATTTTTTAAATATGTAATAAAAAAAATAGAACCTTCCACCATGGTTAATCAACTTTTTTTTAGTTGTCCTGATGCCGACGTTGTTACAAAGTTAAATAGGAGCGGCAGAAATCTTAATCCGGTTTGATCAAGTCAAACCAATGGTACTTTCTTATGTCCTCCTTGATAATCATAAAACTTTTGTTTGAAATATCTATCCTAAAATAACTTTTCTAAAATACACTGTAAAGAAATATTTAAAATGATCAATTATTATAAAATAGGACACCGTGTATGCACATATACATACTTAACATATATTCTACATACACTTTTCTTGTGTACAAAATCTCACTTTTACGATACAAATTTTACGATACATTATTTTATATATACAAAGTGTATAATTTTATCATAACCCATTAAAATTAATGTTATATATATTTTTTTTAAATTATTTTTATATTCTTATGATAATTCTATAAATAATCAAAAACACTAACTAAACAGTTATAAACAATTTATAGTCATTAAGATAACTAATTTGTTTACATACTGCAGTGCTTGAAACATAAAGTGACATGTACCAAACAGTTGAATGCTGTACTTCATTTTTAATGCTCACGTTAAATTATTGGTATCATCTTATGAAAGCGAGAAAAACCTGTAATAAGAAATTATCGGGTAAGTAATGGTTACATATTTCACGTATAATACGAGAATATAGAAATCTGTATAACTAGTCGTTTTGTCTAATTTCTTTTGTTACTTTTTATTATTTCCTTATTATTTTTTGTTAAATGTAAGTATAATGTAAACAAACATAATTAAAATATTATCATATATAAAAGCTATATTCGAACACTGTGTATTATAGGGTGCTTTCCAGCTACGACACAAGTAGACACTGTGTAACACAGTGTACGACACGGTGCTTTCCAACTATGACACAAGTCGACACAATCGTACACAGCTAAAATGCTGAGTTCAACTGTGTCGTCTCTTCATAGCTACCAACATAACCAAGATTTTTACATTTTGTACTATTTATTTATCTAGGAATGATATTCCGACATTGCATGAGTGTATACGAAACAAATAAGGTGACAAAATATTCTTTTGAATTAGTAAATATACCAGAATACTTTTCCTATTAGAAACACTAGTGTAAAGTGACTAAATAGCGTTTCAGCTACAAGTCGACACTGTGTAACACTGTGTCACATAGTGTTACACTGTGTTTCGTAGCTGGAAAGCACCCATATACAGAGTGTTCGGAAAGTGCCGGGACATCTAAATAACTTTTGAACGGATAAAGATATTTGAATGAAACTTGCAGAACACTTATAACATCAGAAAGGCTATCTTTTGACATAAGGGTTAACAACCCTTCTCCCCCCCTCCCAAGAACCCGCACTCTTTAACCCCCGTAGGTTAAACACATGTTCAAAAATCCTAAATTATAGATACTTTATATAATATATACTATACACACAATTACCCTCTATTATATTTTGTACAAATTGATAATATTTTGGACAACAATAAAAACGCAGACTACAACATAATTATAAATTTAGATTTCGTTAATGGATATTAAATCAAAATCTAAATGTAAAAAAGTGTAAAAAGAACCGTAAAAAAATAAATATATAATAAATTCTAATTTTATTCTTATCGCTGATTACATGCTCTAAAAGTAAAATTGAATCATATGTACTTTGTGCGTGTTAAAGCGCTTCCACCTTTTGTAGGGTCCATCATTCGATCCCAATTAGTATGTCCAACAACAAATCCAACAGCACGCATTTTTTCCTGCTCTTTACGTTCTTCTAGATCAGCCCAACGTACCTGCAAAAAAAAAAAAACAAACGTGAAATCTATTCGAAAGTTTTATATTTATTAAAAATTTTAAAGCTCTTATTTTTCACTGTAGTTATAGGGAAGATTCCATTTGCCTAGTAACTTTTCTGTGCTTTACCACTGAGGTTATATTATTTTTAAATTGGCCAATCAGCGAGCAATGTGTGCAATCGTGCATGTAGGCAATCGGAACCTTCCCGTAGTTACATTAAAATGTAATATTAAAAATTATTTGTATAAATTTTACAAATAATAAAATCGTATCAATTTTTAGTTAATTTAAAATAAATAACAAAATTATAATTTATATTGTACTTTGTTGCAAATAATATGTTAAAAATTGGAAAAATACAATAAATTCCCTTGATATTTTGGCAAAGATAAGTCTCTCAAATTAGTTTAAAAAGTTATAACATTGCGAAGATACATACTCGTTTTTTACCAGAAGTATCTTCCATATTGTAATAATCGGGAACTTGTAGGAAATCTTCCATAGTTTGCGGTTTTGTTTCGTTTTTCTTCTTTGCCAAACCATCCAATCGATCTACATTATTGTATTACAAAAAGATTAAATTAAATAGTAATTAGCCCGTTTAAAAAAAATTATAATAAATTAAAGTTAATACGAGTTAACAAGAATAAATGTAATAATTGTATTCCAATGCTCAATTGAATATTTTTTATATTTCTAATATTTTTCAATTAAAACTAATTCACACTATTATTCAGACTCTCTTCAGTCAACGAACTTACGAAACATAAATTCACTTTTAGTTACGTATAGCAGTTGAGAGATAAATTTTAATAATATTAGTTTTAATTTAATGTTTTTACAGATATTTACATGAAATATAAAAAATATACACAATACATATGAATATGTATAATCTATTAGTAGTATAAATTAATACATTGGGTGTACAAATAAGTTTTAAAGCGTTTTTTGTGTAACGTATAATTTAAACTTAGCATTCAAATATTTCCGCGCTCTTTTGATACGTGGTGGCACTTAATGAGTACTTCCTATTAAGGTCATAGATAATGACGAGAATTATTTTGATAATTGTGTTTTTGTTTCTAAATAAATAAATATTAAATTTCATTAAAAACGCTTTAAAACTTATTTGTACACCTAATAAATTAGCTTACCCAGCTTATCTTCAGCTTCCATTCTCTCCCATTTACTAACACCCTAAAAATACAAAAACAAAAATATAATAAAATCATAGAATGACGTTTAAAAGACAAACATTTCTTAAGCTCATTTACTTACAATTGCATCCTGAATATCTTCCTGGCTATCTTGACTATCTTCAGTTTGCGTAGCAGATTTCTCATGCGTCTGTTGACTATCTTCCATATCCACCTTTAAAACAAAAATACTTCTAATTACACAGCCTATAATTTACCATATGTGCACTATGTTAAAAGAATAGTACTCTTTGCAATATCGTGTATCAATTCATATATTAGGTTGTTCGGAAAGTCTGTTTCAAATTTTCTAGTTCATAATAATGCACAGTACTAATTTCGTGTAAATACGTATGTAATCTTTTAAACCGCGCGCCGAACATTCTACGAAACTACCGCAATAATTTAACTATCTAACAATTAATAGATAGATAATTTGTCTTGTTTTAATAGTTAGATAATTTAATTATCTAACAATTTAGTAGTACAATTTACAAAAGTAAAGGAGAGGGGGACGAAAGTCGCTTTGCGTGGAAAATCCACGTCGAAATCCACATGCAACAGGATAATCATGGAAGTCGTGTTCCTTTGAAGCAGAGGAGATGGGGTTGAGGTCACTTAAGATCACGACCTTAACAACATATGTCAAGATCAATGTTATTGGAGGTAATTGCTTTTTTCTAAGTATTTAGAAAGATGTATTATTATACATAAATTAAACTTTTAAGTCTAAATATCTCAGAAACTATAAGAAATCTAGTTGTTAAGGTAAAGTAATTTAGAAATCATAACCTTGACAATATATGTCAAGATCAGCACGATATCCCTTAATCTGCATAATTACCAAAAAATTTTTCATCTTTTCCAGCCCGTAGTTTTTTATATGTAAAAATTACCAAACTCACAGAAACTCAAAAAATAACTTTTCGAAAGTACAAATTTCAATCTTCAAAACCCTTGTTCTAAAGTTAAATTTCGTTTACTTTTTACGAAGATGTATATATAATTTTGAGCTAGAAGATTGAAACGAATTTCCGAACAAAGTAATATTAAGGCAAAACTTAAATTATAAATTGTAAATTTACGAAAAACATTTAATAATAAACCTTTATCTCTTTATCTATATGCAAATATTCGCTTTTTTTAAGAAAAACAAATAAAATGACGAGTAATAGATTACCTCTTCTATTGCTTGCTCTTGCAACATCGAATTTACATCTAGCTTCTGATGATAACTGGGTGTAGGTTCAAAGTAATCTATTATCCGATTAATTTCATCCTCGGTACGGTTGTGAACATTTCTCTTCAAACATATCTGTAGATCCATCTCCATTTCGCATACATACACCTTAGTACATACATCATACATTGTTAGCAAAAACTATTAGTATCGAATTTCTAATATATGTTGCAGGTAGTAAAAGTCTAATATATTTATCGACAAAAAAATAAAATTAATGCGATAATTCGATTTATTCTAACACAAGAAAAATCTATAATATGGATATTCACAATAGTCTCAGAAAAAAAATCATGTATGATATAATGAAATATATAAATTAGTAACTTACTTTAAAACCTTTTGTCTTGCCGAAACTCCACATCTCTTCGTAATCCGAAATCTTCTCGTTAATGCAGTCTAATATGATAAAATTGAAGAATCCATCGGTTATATTTTTCTTAAAAGCTTTAATAAGAGATGTCACATAACTCTGTTCCATAGCCTCTTCGTATTCATATACCATTTCCTACGAAAAATTATAAATTAAAATTAAAATAAGTATTCGTACACAATTGTTTTTTACATTACACATTCGCAATGGTTTTGAATTTATAAAATTACAAAGTATTTTATACAAATAAATTTTACTTTTCAACATAAAATAAATTATAGATTATTATTTAATAATAAATAGAGAAAATTTTTTCATATTATGAGATAGGAATCTAATATGAGATAGCAATATTTCTCCTAAATGTATGCTATCTGTTGGTTTTATCAACAGATTTTATTGCTCTTGAATTGAAAACTGTAGTGAATTGAAAAATTTAGTGGAAAGTTCGTTATTAGATCGTGCCTGTAGTCGTTGTAAAAAAAATATTTTAGAATTTGTTTGTCTTCAAGTTTCATTGAGATGAGTCTTTAAACATTTATTATTTAATAAGTAATAAATTCTGCGTGTAATGATAGAATAAAATCATATTAATAGAAAAATAGGATATATTAAATTGCTTAATTATAAAAGTTAGATTTGATAATCGTAAAACCGTAAGGCGTAGAACTCGTAATATGAAATACTCAGGATATTTCTAATATGAAATAACCCACTTCTACGCTCGAGTGACAATCGTTACTGAAGTATAAATGTTATTGTAAAGTGATAAAAAAGATAAAAAGAATAACCAGAATAAATATCGAGCGCTATTTCTGCTTGGTCCAACTACCTGCAGACAAGTTCTGGATACAATGCATCGTATGCTCATTCTGCTTATTTTAGAAACATTAAATAAAGGTTTTTAATTGCAAGACTGATGTACGTTGCACTTTATTATCAATTTCTGGGAGTCTCATATTATGAGCACAATTTTTTACTTTGCAATTTGCTCATCTTCTACATTTTTCTAATTAAAAAAAAATATTTGAAATCTTACACATTACAATATTTTAAAGATTATTAAATTCTCTTCAAAATACCTAACCTATTATTTTTTTAAAATTCTTCTCATAGACCCTCAGCAATTATCCAAAATAAATTCGGTAACTCATAATAAAGAAGCCTATCCTTTATATACTCTCTTAAATATTAAATATTATTAATATTGTACGAATTTTATATAATAAAGTTGCTATCACATTATTATAAAAGTGGAAGTCAATCCAAGTTCATTTTATATTATAAACATAAGTATTGTACCTTAACTATAACTTTCTTTCCATTATCATCCTTAATCTCTATTTCCTTTTCGACAAGAAAATAATCATCTAAACTCAATATTCTCGGCGCAGAACCACCTTGCTCGACTTCTTTATCCTACACAGTAAGAAAGTATCATAATTAAATATTAGGTGTGCCTGTATTGTGTTCCATTTGTAGAATATATGTAAAAGGATCCTTCCCCAATTTACCATTTATTGCGAAATTTCTGTTGCAATTTTATTATTCAATAGAGCTAAGTTTCAGCTTTAAGAATCTGTTTTTTAATTGCTTGGGGAACTACGTATATTAGTTAATTATTAATTTAATTTAATTCGTGATAGTACCGCGGTAGTTTATATGTAAGCGATTAAAACATCGAAGCTAGACTGTTCTAGGCTTCGTATTTGTATTAGTTATGTTCTTACATTAACGGTCTTTAGTATTGAATATTGTTTTATTTTTATGTTATATTAACATTATAAACTAGAAATTTATTTTATAAAAAATCTTATTGCTCGATTTACATAATTTTTTCTTTAATTATACTTTACATTGCAAAAAACGAGTAAAATCTAATTATATTAACTCATATTTTACATATACAAAATAATTATTTATGTAATAATATATTTAAACATTTACTATAAATATACCTTAATAAGTTTAGCCACAAAAGACTTGCCGCTACCGGGTGGTCCTCTGAGGATGATAGCTATTTTTGGTGGTCTGTTCTGGCGACCTGGCGGACACAATAAGTCATCGACCATCGTAAAATTTGGCATTTTTGCCAATTCCAGGGTTTTCGTAGTTGATTCCGCAACATTTTTCTTTGTATCTGGAGGAAGACTATAAAAGATTTATCTCGTTAGTAAAATAAAAAACGTACACTAATGGATAATTACATTATAATAGATTGATCGAAAAAAATCACTCGTCAAACAAAAGAACGAATGAACTCTCTGATCAATCTTGTAAAATAAAAGAATAATAATCTTTGTAATAATCAGCACGAGAATAAGTACAATAAAAAATAGAAATAAATATATTTTGTTATAAAAATTTTTCTCAGAAATTTTTTCTAATTATATAATAGTATATACACATAAATAACAATTTGAAAAAATATTTCGCAACAATCACTCTTCATTAAATATTCATACATAATTCGCTTTAAAAAGTATCAAACATTAATAAAAAAATTATTCTATATAAATAAACCGATACTATACACAAAATGGCATATTGTACATCATTGCACTTAAGCAATAAAATTTAGTACAAATATTATTAAAAAAGTTCGATTTATCGAACATAAAATATAAGAATGTCATTAAAAACAAAGAGATTAATATTGTAGATAAAATTACGACTATCTTACAGTAAATAAGTAAATTAAAAGGTATATTTGTTATATTTTACATATACACATGCAATAAAGTTGCATATTATAAAATTCTTTATGAAAGCAATGATAAATACTTGCTATAAATATCATGTATATATTAAAAAAACTACATTACAGGATTAAATTTTCATTATAAGTGGTAAATGCCATAAGTGGAAAATGGCACATAAGTAAGTATTCTCTCTCTATTTCCAGAGAGTAAGCAATTTTCAAATACATAATGGATTAATACTATAAAAAATCAGTTTGTTGAAAATACAAATATAAGAAATTATTACAATCAATATTAAAATTATAACTAAATATGTAGTTATAACTGTTCTACAATTATAGTTATATAAAAATTTTATGGTTTACTATAAAATCTTTTTAATTTATAAAGAATAACATGGTATGTTAAAAGCAACAATAAAAATTTGACACAAATATATGTTTAAGGTAAATTCATTTTTACAAAAGTATTTTTTGTAGCCTTGTCTGTCAAACAAAGACTTTTACACATGCAAAACAGCATTCACCCACATTGCATAAATTATATATTTCATATATGATATATCCATATAAAGAACGCATACTAAAATTATGAAAAATAATTAATATAGGTATAAACTTATATAGTAAATTTTGTTGATTATATGCATAATATTTAATAGCTATGCATAATTAACGTATAGTATTAATCGGACTGACCGTAGCACAGATATATTAAATTTGATATATCTGTTACGTCAGTATTACATGTAAAAATAAAGATTTTGTTAACATCGGATATCAGAAAAATTACAGTAATTATTATCCGGTTATTCAAATCCGAATATATACACTGATATCCGTCTCGGTAAATAATAAAATGGTATAGATCATAAAGTAGCTTAGAAATCTCTTGGCAATTTCAAAAATGTACAATTTTTTACAAACTTCGATAAATGTATCATAAATCATGTAGCAGCAAATGCATAATTGCATATGCGCAATATTTATATCGTAAAACATAATTGACAGAACATTAAGTTTTGCCATTGTCGGAGCATAATCGAAAAAATTAACTAAAACATGATTATAACACATCTCGATAGATTTTTGTGTTATTTTGATTTTATTGTAAATGTACAAGTAAAACCTTTAAACAGAAAGATGAAGATACCAAATTTAAAAAGTTTTTGGGAAGAATTTGGGACTTCTGGAGAATAATTTTTAATCTACAGAAATAATTTCTGTGGTATAAAAAGAATTCAATTTTACGATAAAAACTAATTTTTGTTATGTCGTATAATAACAGATACTATCTAACAAGAGTATACGTTATCCTATATATATACATATATATTATGTATAAAATATATCCTATATATAATTATATATTATATATATATATATATAATTTATTAATTCTTAATAATATTCACAAACTTTCCGTACAACGTTTAAACACTCTTTTTCAATACGTTGATTTTATATTATTTTGTTGTTTCTCCTGTAGTAGGCCTTATAGTGAACTTGATTGGATGCACTTAAGACTTGAGCAGAAAGTGAAATGACTAATCACAGTAGAAACTGTTATCCAACGTGTTGATTTCCTTACTACTTAAGTCTTAAGTTTTTTATGTGCCAAGGCTTTAAATGTGCACATTAAAGCCGTTGTATTCAAATCGACATAAATATTTATATATGCTTAATATAAATATACGAAAATAGATTAAATTATAAAATTCTTAATACATTTTATTGTAAAATTTGTATTTTATAATTTGAAATATTTGCATTTTATTTTTACACATATTAAATAAGTGTACAATAGCTTTATTATACACTAGTGCATTCAACCGAATTCGCCATTAATATTTTGTATTTCTATAAGGTATTTTCGAACATATTTTTTTGCTGAGATTCGGATCGAATCTAACAGTATTTTCCACTAGAAAAATTAGTACAAAACCAGTGCAATTGAGTGCAAATCGATTTACATATTTTCCAGTGTTAATAAATAATTTAATTCTTTTAAAGTTATAAGATTATCATGACAATAAGAATACGTAGATAAAAGAATTAAATTATTTATTAACACAAAAATGTAAATTGATTTGTATTCAACTGCATTCACAATCGGTGTACACATGTACATCAAGCATTAATTTTTCCAATGAAAAATATTATAAATATGCCATATAACATTTATGCATCATACTAAACAACTGTATACTGACACATTAATTACAAAAGTATTAACTATACCTTTTACTAATTAATATTTTTAACACATTTTATAATGCTGTATTTATTTCTTAATCTAATCTTTTGTATATTGCTCATTACTAGACAATTACACAATTAAAATAATTCGAATGTTTTTGAATGTTTTGAATCATTAAGTTTTATAATATTAATTTGAAAATGCAATTTTGCTGATTTTATTGTTCAACACAACAAAATTTTTTGCGAACAAGGGAACGATACTAATTATTTTCTCTATAGTTTTTTTAGATACTAAATATAAATCTGTTTCCTAATTTATTATATATCATAATTTTAAAGACTTTGTAATTAGAATTGCAAAAAAGAGCTATTTTTAAAGCTTACATATTTTGTCATATTATAACTACGATATAACATGACGTGCTGGAACAATTTCATTGAAATCAAAATTAACTATGTTATTAAGACTTTCAATCCTCAAAATGATCTTTTAGAGCCTCGACTGTGATTAATGAAATATTTATGATCTCTTAAATATATTAAATAAAAAAAAAATCTATAATGAAAATTAAGCGAAACTATTGAATAGTAACTATTGAATAGTCGCCACAGTTATATTAAATCGACGTCACAAACGAGAAATTAAACAATAATTTTTATTACGTATTATTTGTAAATAAAGACAATTTGGATAAAGAGAAATAAGATCGTTTTAAAACATCATAAAAATGGACAAAAACTATCCTTATCCCTCCGAACAGTTAGTAATCATAAAAATTGATAAAAGGCATTCAATAAGTGCTTTTATTCAATGTGCATGCGTAACCTATTTACACTTATACATATGTTCCTTTTATCATTTTTTAATGATTATTTACTGACTCAAGGGAGATAAGCATAGTTTTTTCGTTCATTTTTACAAATGTTTTAAAGTGATCTCATTGTTTTTGTTGTTGCCAAATTGTCTTTATTTATTAATGGTACATAATAAAAATTAACATGTTATTTCTCGATTACACTTTTGAGGCTTTCACGGGAATTTTCTTCAATTATACCAGAGATTTGCGAGTTATCAGAGCGAGAGGTGCACTGATACTCGTATCACCCCTCGCCCTGATTAAGTGAACGGCATGGTTCACGAAATGTTGGCATTAATAATGAAGAAAGACACGGCGATAACCCGCAAACCTTCTGGTATAAATGTTATTTCTCGTTTTTGACGTCACGATCCAACGTGACTTAATGGACTATTCAGGAACCTTAATCGCAAATTTTTCAAAACTGTGACGTGACAGGGTAATTTAAATTCCCATTCGTAGTTATCCGTGTAAAAAAAAAAAAACTATGAGAAATGAAAAAATTTTAAACAATATGAGATCTTCTTCAACGGACTCTTATAGTTCAAAAATAATACATTCCTCAAGGGCGAATGAGAGTGCAGCGTTGATCTTGATACGCAATAAATAATAACTCTTATTATTGAATTAAATTGAAAAATATCATTTATTCAATAATGGACAAAATATATACGTTTCGACTCATATAGAGTCATCTTCATTATTTATTGCGTATCAAGATCAACGCTGCACTCTCATTCGCCCTTGAGGAATGTATTATTTATGAGAAATGACTAATTTCGTTCTGGAACTTTTTTATTGGACAGTGTTATAAAGGAATAAAATTATGTTTTTTCGAAGTATGTTTTTTTCGTTCTTTTTGCAAGCCACTAAAAAATGACAATTTTTTAATTATATCATCATTATAGCAAATAAGTGATTTGTCATATAAACAAGATATTAAACTGTGAGACGTAATTGTAAACAATGATGCATGATTATATAAAGATAAGCGTAATCGAACTTATAGAATATTAATCCAAAATCAAATGATTATTGCTACAATAATTTCAAAATAAAAAATTATGTTTAAAAATATCACTTTCTACAAATAATACTATTAAAAATGTTATCGTATTTTTAAAATTTCCATGATATCTGATCTGTTTACTCTTGGATTATTTCTTTAATTAATAATCTAAATTTATTTGACAAAATAGATTAGTATAATGTAATTATTTTTAAGAAAATAAATTTTTTATTTAAAATCCTTCAAGTTAATGTTCTTTTTCCTCTAAGTATTTAATTAAATGTAGACTAAAGTTTCTGCAAACACAAAAAGTAACATTAACATACCTGGTTTCTTGTAGTTTTGTATCTACGACGTTTTTGTTTGCATTCTCCTGCCAATTAACATTTCCTTTCAATCTAAAGAAAATGGCATATATGTTTAAAAAATATATATCTCATACTTATTTTATATAATATTATCAGCTATTCTTATTAGCTACTATAAAAAGTCAAATAAAATATTTTTGTTATTTATATAATATACCTATTATCATCTTTGTCATTATCTTTATTTATTTCCTTTCGGGAACTGTCACGTATCTCTTGAATTCGTTCTGTATCTGAAAAATGATGGATACAATGAGACATACTCTGTTGTTTGTTCTTTATTTCAATATAATTCATAATTTACAGACATTACATAGTAAAACTAAATCGGTATTCCAAACTTAACAAACATATTCTACTTGTTGATTTCATTTTTATAATTATAAATAATATTCTTTAGATAAACTTTTGAAAATGCCCAACGCTCGATTAACATAAATTTTGGCAGAAATACTCCAAATGACGTCAAATGAATGCCCTTAAATGGATTTTCACCGACAAGGTTTAATGCCAAAAATGTTTAAGCAAAGTTATATACCACCTAAATGTATTACCATTACATAGGTCGCTATAAATCATTTCCAAGAGACTGATATATTAACCCTCTAAGATCTACCCTACTTTCATGCACCCATAAAGGGGAAACGAATGATGTGATAATTTCGCTTAGAAATCGTGTACCTCTCTCAAGCAGGAAATAGGCAAAATAAAAGTCGCTTCGCGTGGAAGTTGTACGCTCTGTAAGCAGGGGGAGGGGAGGGGTGAGAATCGCTTCAGTTTCACGTAGAAGTCGTTTGTAAAACAAAAATATATTTTAAAGCAGAAATTATACAAAAAATATATGTAAACTTCCATAACTTCATTCAAACATTTTTGACATTAAACTTTCTTGTCGGTGAAAATCCACTTAAGGGCATTCATTTGACGTCATTTGGAATATTTCTACCAAAATTCATGATAATCAGGCATTAGAATTTTTCGAAAGTTCACCCTATTATTTTATTACAATTAATAAAATAAGCTAATAAACTTTGAGCAAATGCTTTACTTTTATAAAAACTATATAAATAAAGGTTTGATAATTTTTTATCTATTTTTATAAATAAAAAATACAAACAAGTATTATTTAAATTGTAAGCAATAAATAAATCAATAACAATTTTGTATTTTTATATAAAATTAGATTTAAAAAATGTTAGTGTAATTCATCAATTCTAATAGTGCAGGTATTTTTTCATGTTTTCCATTTAATGAGGAATTAAAGTAACTGTATAATTACATGCGTTCATCACAAAGAAGATAGTAATATCAAAACAAATGTTGGCATTAATAATGAAGAAAGACACGGCGATAACCCGTAAACCTTCTGGTATAATCAAAACAAATATTATACATATATAAAGATCACAACAACAGTTAAAGGATAACATTTAGATGAACGCCTGAAAGCATAGGGTAACTTTGTGAATTTTTTATAATTAAATAATAAAATGATTGCAAATTCTTATTAAAGGCCTTTAATGTACATATATTCAAGTACACAAAACAATTTTTGTTTAATATTTTGTGTCAAGATGACGGCGCTGGAGCTCTGCAAATGAGACTGCGTTTTACTCATAGGTCTCCGGGGCTTGCAGCAGAAGTGCCGTACACTTTCACTAAGGACAAAAAGCAAAATTTTTTCATAATCTACATTAAATTTGCTAGAGAATTACACACGTATATTTTAGAATATTGATTTTTGTAGAAATGTTGAACATGTAAATACAAAGTTTCATTTTCATCCAAAAAATTTAGTAAAAAAAGTATTTATAACAAAAAAGTTTTTAACCGATCGTAAAAATCATATGTACTTCTCTAGAGAATTTAGTTTAACAACTGCTGTAAAAATTTCAAGTGGATCGGATAATTTTTTTTTTTTTTTTTTTTTTTTAATTAGGAAAACGTAGTCTCATTTGCAGAGCTTCAGCGCCGTCATCCTTGACACAAGAAAATAAACAAAAATTGTTTTGTGTACTTGGATATATGTACATTAAAGGCCTTCAATCAGAATTTCCACTCATTTTATTGACTATAAAAAATTCACAAAATTACCCTATGTTTACAGGGAGCCTGTCACATGAAGCGAAAATTACAACGAAACGGAATAGTGAAACCAATCAGAACTCTGCAATCATTACTTTGCTTTCCTTTCTGCGATTGTGATTGGTTTCACTGTTCCGTTCCGGTATTATTTTCGCTCCATGTGACAGCATCCTCAGGCGTTCACTTAGATGTTACCTCCTTAAGGATAAATTCCTGAGATCATTTTTTAAGACAAAATTCTAATACCAAAATGTCAAGACTTTAATAATTTTCGAATTATAAGCACTTAAAGTTATTGAATCATATCGCCTAAAGTACGTGCGCTTTCAGATGTAATACAACGGAAAATCCTATCGCACCTAAACGCGCAAATTTTGGGCGGTATAATTCAAAAACTATTATATCCTTGATATTTTGATATTAGAATTTCCGTTTTAAAATAATCTCAGGAATCTACCCTTAAGCATCGGTACGGTCTTTACCAAACACTACACTCTATATATAACATTAAGAATAAAAACATTCCAGTGTTGCTAAAAAACGAAATTCATATTAGTTTATATATAATTATATATAATTAGTTTATATATACATATAGGTATATACTGTATACAATTATAAATCAATTAATTCGGAAATAACAAAAACATTTTATTATTTCCAATTTATTTAACAATTTATTTAAACAATTTGTTTTAAAATTTAGATTATATGAAATTCTATTGTTCTTTGAAAAGAAATCAAAATTATTGTATTATTCATAAAATAATTATTCATATTAAATTACCTTTATAAACGTTTTTATCACTTTGATATTGGTCGCTCTGGTCATTATCAATTCGTTCGAAACTTCGAAATTCTGATTCGGAATTATGTCCTCTCTCTTTATAGTCAACATTCTCTTTCTTTTCCTCATCAATTTTTTTATCATTATTCGATTGCCAATCATGTTCCTTTCGATTATTATAGTCCACTAATTTGCACACGTCAAAATTCATTGTATTTTTGTAGTTCCTCGTTTTTCCAGCATATTTTCCCTTTGTATTTTCGTAGTAGTTCATCTTGTCATCATATTCTTGCAGATTCTGCTCGTCCTCCACCCAATTCCTAAAATCTGTCTTTGGATAATGATGTTGCTGCAGATCGGGCTTTAGATTTCCGTGACCGTAATCAAAGCTCTGGACTGACGACAGTTGCTGATCCATAATCGAAGCACGAGACATATGCCCGTAATCAATAATCTTTGTCGGTGTGAAGTGAAGTGATTCAACAATTTTTTTATCTTCGCCGTGATTATAATTAAACTGCTTCTGCACACAAAATTCTTCATCATTCTTTGGTCTCCTCATCAATAAATTAGGGGCATATTTTGATTGAAATTCGGATGTAGTTGTAGATTCACTGTATTGAGTTTTACAATCACCCACTTTCGGTTCAATCATAGTTCTTTCTGATCTTGATTTCTCGTCAAATGTACTTGAAATGTTCTTATCAATATTATGCTCTGCACCGGGCCTCTGAACTTTGCCAAACTTATCCTTCCAATCACTAGGTCCATATCCTGGACAAGATACAGTCTCTTTTTTATTAAGATCAGGTATATGTCCGATATATTCACTATTATTTTCTTTCTGCATTTCGATATTTCTATCAGGACAATTCCTATTAAATTCATCAGTCGGTTTCGGGCTTTCATATCTGGCTTTTTTAACAAAAATATTATCTTCAAACTGTTCTTTTCTAATGTAAGAATTTCTATGCAAATTATCGCCGCGATTAAGTAAAGAATCGCTCGGAGGTGGAAAATTTGAATTAGTTGAATCATTCATCGGATCTTTTGCTTTAAAGTCTGATGACCCAAAGGATCCACTATTACAATCTCGAGATTCAAATCGGCTCTCATTCCTCGGGTTATGTTGAAGTACAGCATCATTTGAATCGCAAGAACCAAGTGGAACAGATTCATTAGAACCGCGAGGACTAGTCAGATCTTCATTAGATGTCTGAAAATCAATAGCTTTTTCATCAGAAAAGTTAAATGATCCACTATTATCAAAAGGTCTCTTATCAAATGATGCTTCATTTGCTTTACCAAACTTATTAGACCCCATAAAACTGGACTGCGAATCGGAAGAACATCTAGTACCAAAAAATGTATTACTGGGCCCTCTAGGACCAAATGATCCTTCATTGGGCCCTCTAGGACCAAATGATCCATCATTGGGCCCTCGCAGTCCAAATGGTCTTTCGGACGTTGTTCGAGAATCTAAACGATCATTAACTCTTCTAGAACTAAATTGCATATTGTTGCCTCTAGGTCCAAATGGGCTAGGATTTCGCAAAGAAAACGGTAAATCAATTCCCCTTGATCCAATCTGACGATCCATGGGTCCTCTCGGGCCGAACTTCATGTTTATGAGCGCTCGAGGTCCAAATTGATTAAATAACTCATCTACAGAACCACGTGGATTAAATTTCTCACTATTTGGTTCAGATAACTCGTCATTACAATCTTGATCACCACATTGCTCATCATTAGATCTTCTAGGACTGAAACGATTTTCACTTAAGACATTAAGCCCAAATTGGCCATCTTTGGGACCTCGTGGACCCATAGAACCTTGCGATAAGAATGGACTTGAAGGATCAGTTAAAAATGCGCGAGAACATCCGGGACTAAACATTGGAGGTCCCCGAGGTGTAAATGGCATACAAGAATTAAATTCCATTCTTTTGGAGCCAAAGCTGTTATTAAAACGTAAATCGAATTGATTATCAGCTGGTCTCTTTCTATTAAAATCTTTGTTTAAATTCGATGGTATATTTTGATTGGAGTCCGTAGAAATGGGACACAAATTGGGTAATTCCGGTGGTGGTTCAATGTTCAAATCTACTGGTGGTACGTCATTTTCACCCATGAAGGGCAAACTTTCAGGCTTCTTGACATCATTATTAGAGTTATTTGTACTTTCGATGTTGCTTTGGATTTTATTATCTTGTTTCTTGTTATCCTGTTGCAAAGAATTATCATCGTTAATAATTTTATTTTTTTCTCCATTATCATCCTTTAAGTTGTCAGAAGAAACGATGTTATTTTGCTCAATAGAATTATCAGCCTCATTCACTTGCGTTGCTTCCATATCTTTTGCATCTGTAACATTATCAGTTTGCAGCGATGACTCAACATCAATAGTTTCAATATTTTCAGAACGTTTAACATCTTGTGGTTCAGTATTTGTTAGTTGGAATTGATTGGGATGCGATTTGATTTCCATATTCTTTCCTCGTTCATTGTAATCTATAGGATTATGTTTAGCAAAGCTATCTGGACGTCCTTTAAAAGGAGGTTCGTGACTGAAAAAGTGACTTCGTGATCCATATAATGAAGTAGAAATTTGACCCAAATCAGAAGAATGTGATTGAAAGCTTGATAATCCGCTACTCGCTGCTTCACTACGATTCGCTGAATTTTTCTGAAAATCAAAGGAACTTTTAAAGAGTGAGTGACCGGCAATTTTTTTAAAACTCTCGCTAAGAGAACCAATACCAGTGGACTTGTCGGAATCGATAAAACTGGGTCTAAATACGTCTCCTGCTGCTTTTCGCTTTTCCATGAGTTTCTTCAGTTCTGGCGATAGTTCGTTTGACGGATTGAATGATGAATTTCTAATGAAACTCCGGGTATTAGTACCGAAACTGTCTCGTCTATTATCAGATGAATCGTTCGAATCGAAATTACCTCTATCAAATCTATCATTCGGTCGAAAATTCTCGTTATTAGACCCAAATCGATCATTACCAGAAAAGAAACGATTAGTTCCAGAAACAAATTGTTCTCCACCTGGTGCAAACCGATCTGATCCAAATCGCTCATTATCTGGAAATCGATCATTTCCAGGTCCACGGTGATCTTTATCCATCCCGATCCGATCATTTCCAGGTCTGAATCGATCGTCCTCCGGTCTAAACCATTCATTGTTAAACCGATCACTTGGACCAGGACGATCTTTGTTTGGTTCGAATTGATCACCTTCTGATGTAAACCTATCACCTCCCATCGATCCAAATCTATTATTTTCGCTAAAACGATTATTTCCTGACGCAAAATGATCTTTTGTTGGCCCAAACCGATCATTACCTGAATTAAAATTATTCTGCGAGTTTAATTGATTATTCCCAAAATCATTGTAATTTTTTTCACCTCTTCTAAAATGTTGCGCTTCGGCTTCATCAAAATTATCAGTAGAAGGTCTGAATTCTTGTTCGTGCAAATTTGGATTAATATTATCTCGTCCAAAACGTTCATGATCACCTCTTTTGAAGTTGGGCTGTCCGTCAAAACTATGAGATAATCGATCATTTGGATGCATAAAACGCTTGTCCATGCTTGAAGAATCAGCTGAACCAAACGGAGGACAATCATTTGTGTTTGCTAGACCTGGTGCTTTTACATTTGGTAATTGCGTTCGATCATTATTAGAAAAATTTGGTGGAGGTTGCGAAAAATTTGGTATAACATTATTTGGCATATTCAGCTGTGGTTGTGCAAAATTTGACGAGATTTGAGATGGCCCAATATCCGACATTGAGAGCATCGGAGGCATTGTCGATATTCCGAGACCATACGTCGGTGCTTCTATTCTAGGATTATATTGTTGATTTCCCCATTGTTGCGAATTGGACCAATTCGGTACTGCAGGTCCAATCATATTTAGTTGTGATGGAAGTTTATGTATTCTTTGTGTGACAGGTTGATTACTAGAACTTGTGGTTTCTGGCATTGGTGGCGGTGGCGGTGGGGGCACTAAAGATGCAGAAATATTTTGCTTCCCTGTAAGACCCAAAGTTTTCCCAATACCCAATAGATTATTGATTAATCCTTGATTTTCAGTGTTCGATAAGATGTTTAGTATTTTATCGTCCCCAGATACATTTTTATTTTTTTCGACTTCTGCTTTCGCAGCAGCCTGTTTCTGTTGTTCGCGTTTTTTACGCATCTGTTCTCGTCGTTCGAGCAGCTTCTCACGCCATGAAGTCCATTTTGCTTCGTATTGTTTATACTGAGTCTGAAATACAAAGATACTATTTTAAACTTTATAGAAAATGTAATTTAAATTATTTATATTAGGTTATACATGCTTTATTATCTTAATGATTTTGATATCATAAAAATGAGAATTAGAATTAATTTTATTTTAACTGATAATATTATATAAAAAAAATAAATATTTTAAAATATATTTTTCAAAATAATGATTAAAAAAAGCATTGAAATATAAAAAAACACGGTTTTTCCAATTGTCGGAAATTATTTGTAAAATTATTTATATTCGTATTTTGACTTTAAAAAACAGTAAAATAAACTTCATCGAAAATAAGTCTTCTAATATGAATAATTACTTTTCAATAATATATATTTAATTACTTCATATAATTATATTGAAAATAGCATTTACCTTGTCTGGATGATTGGCGTTTTGTTGCTTCCATGTATTAAATTGTTGTTCCCACTGTTTGAACTGTACATCGAATGTTTTCTCAGCTTCAGTCAATTCCTCTTCAGAGATTAATTTTTTAGCACTTTTGGAATCACTAATTACATTACTACTGGATTTTTCAGCTGTAATATTTTCCCTATTGATTTCAGGTGGTAAGGGTGGTTGGCTTGTAGGTAGTGGTGGATTTGTTATATTTGCTTGTGACGTTATCTTATCAGCAGATTCTTTTGCAGGGAATAATGGAAGATTGTTCTGGTGTGGAGGTGGCATATTCGTAAACTGATATGTATTTGTTGTAGGAGGTAAAGGAGGTCGGGTATCCTCTTTAGGAAGAGGCGGTGGTGGCACACTTGATGTTACTTGCATCTGACCCGGCAAATTCATATTCTGCACTGGTACATGCTTCATCTCCTGATACTGAAAAGAATTTTCTATTAATAAAAAATAACAAATAAAAATTTTTAATATTTTTATAGATATCGAGCATTTTATGTACCTAAAAATTTTCTAAACTTTTGTAATATTATCTAACAAATCATTTAAGAAAAGAGTAGATAAAGATTAAAAAGTGATTACATATTCTTCTTTGTTTTTTTTAAATAATTTTAAACAAACATTTTATTCAAAAGAAGAAAGACTATTACAAAATGTTTCCATTGAAATATATTGTTTTCATTTATATGTTTATATACATATTTTATTAAATTTTTGTAGGTCTATATTAAAAATTAATGCTTTCTTTATCATATTTAATAAATAAAAGTTCAAAAAAATTGAAAAAGCTATATTCTTAAAAACATTTTTTTATTATGTGTGTGTATATATATATATCATACATCTTTAAGACAATATAAGATAGACCGAAGTAACGGGAAAGGAATAAAATAAAAGCTTAGGAATTTCAATCAAAATTAATTTTAATTACATCAAAATATAGAGCATTTACGAATCATCTTATTAATTTCCATCAATACGAGTCAATTATCAAGTCTCTCTAAATGTATAAATACAACTAGACAGACTCCACTGTGCAGCCTTGTTGATGCTATTTAGTAAACATGGAACATTGAAATGGCAAACAATGCATTTGCTGTAAAATTATATTATAATGAAGTCTGCACTCAAATTACTTGTAGAGAAGTTTTCTACTATTTTCGTCTTCATCGTTACGATCCTATATGTCATCAACTCATGCAAATTTTGGTTTCTTTGGTCAATCTTATATAATTATGTGATATAATCATTTTATACAAAATGAAACAATAGATCTAATGCTAATGCTTCAATAATAAATACAAATTGTTGATAATTTAAAAAATTGTATTAATTTATCCCTTCCAAAAATTTTATTTTATACTAATAATCTTATTACTATATATAGTTAATTTATACATTACATAATATTTAAATTATATCAATATATAACTTTGTATTATACCTTATCGCCATATTGCGTTTGCCATTGTTGATACTGTTGATTCCATTGTTGCCATTGAGCCCAACCTTGCTGTTGTGCCATTGCCCATTGTTCCGGTGTATATCCAGTAGGCGTCTAATATATATAAAAATACATATACACACACACACACAGAATGATGGATACTAATTGTAAGTAAAAAATTTTAGACAATTCCTTTCCTTTAGACATAAATTCAAAATGAAAACTTTACATATCCAAAACAATTTAATTTCAAAGATACAGAGTGTCAAAGCCGAAAAGAAATTTGGAAATCACTTGAGTTATGTTGATAGTATGTGTTTAAAGAAGATCAAGACCTGATATTTATATATATGTAGTTGATATATATATATATATATTTAAGACTGTCATAAATATAATTTTAAACTATGGTAAACTAATCATCATGACAATGATCACAACAGAACCATATATGTACATATATTAGAGCATTACTTACTTAAATCTTAAAGTAAGAATCGACTGTATGAACACCTAGTTATTATTCTGTTCATAAAAGTATTAAGGTACAATTATTAAACTATTAATTTGTTTTGTATCTCTATTTTAATACTTTTATATGCGGAATAATTAGAAGTATCATATATTGTGTAAAAAATATATAATTTCATTAAAAAAATTTTAGGTAATCTTGATTTGATTTTAAGAACATTTTCTGAAGGTTATCTTCTTTCTCCCTTGTAATTTTTGTCTAAAACATTTATGTCTTGAATATAAGGATTTTGAGATATTTTATTAGATAGATTAAAATGAATCACTCTGTATAATATCATATTATTATACTTTTGCATTTTATCATTGTAACATCTGGGTTCAACTCTATCGGACGAACTTGTAATGATAGTCCTGTCTCACATGCCTTTACAATACACTCGCATTGAGAACAAGAAAATCAATCTTTACTATTATCATTATATCAGCATGTCTGTATCGCATTATCATACACCATAAGAAAACAGTATCACAATCCAACAACACTAACATCTGTAAGAATCGCTGAAGAAGGACCTGTAAGTTCCGAAACGTACAACATTTTTTCATTTTATGTTCTCATTCATATTATAAATTTAAGAACAATATTAAATCTATTTAACTCTATATAGACCGTTATTTATTGTAATTTCTTTTTTTAATAACTTTTTAACGAAGGACGAGCGATGGTTAAAACCTGTTGGAGGTTATTTCAGGGTTATGACCTTGACAACATATGTCAAGATCAAGATCATCGGAGCTGCTTTCGTTATTATCAAGATTTACTCTTTATTTTCACAAAATTTCACTCTGCACAATAATATCTTCTCGAATTTCAGGGTACTCTATATATGTATGTTATTTATATATATTAATTTATTAATAATTGTTAAAAAAGCTGCATTTTATAAAGAATACAATATCTTTGTTTAAAGAATACTTACTGGTTGATTATAATATTGCATATAATTCTGCATCATGGTCGTGGTATCTGCGCCAGTTGCTGGTGTAACGTAGCCAATTGGTGGCTGCGACAATGGAGCCGTAACACCAGTTGACAACGGCCATTGGTTCCAATTTTGCATTTTGTAAATCTTCTATCAGACTAGCAAGCAGCTTGTTAGTCAGTCTAAAGGCCGTAGTCCATTCTAGGTGTAACATGTATTTAAACATGTATTTAAAGAAGATTTAAGTATATACTTTATTGTACATTACATATATATATATATATACATATATATATTTCATGATACCTGTTTCACTCTTATTTCAATATTTTTCAATTATTTCAACACTATACAATCGTATAAAGACGGTAAACAAATATAACAAAAATAAATCGATTAAACTATTTACTATTATATTAAATATAAAATTCGTTGATTACAATATCAAAAAAATATGATATATCAACGCTAATCGATTTTGCAGCGTACAGATATTTCTGATGTATAAATCAGTATAAATGTAATTCTCTAGAAATAAGATGTATATCATTTTTTGTAACGCTGCTTAAAATTCAATTTAAGTATATAATGTATTATACAGAGTGTAACTAAAAAAAACGTATGTGGAACATACCATGAAATACAGGACAAAAATCTAAGTAGAAAAGTTTTGAATTATTTTTTGATCTGAGTTTTCAGTTCATTGTTATACGATGTTAAAGTTAGCGAATTAGTGCCCGAGTATAGAAGGAAAATAGAGACGTAGCAAGGCGTATTGGAGCTGACGGTGGTAGAACGATGGTGAACAGCGAAGCGGTTGTAATTATCAATGGGTGCATCTAGAAGCACGACCGCTCACTGAGCACTCAGTAAGCTTTTTTATCTGATTGGCATATTCCATTAGATCTAAAAATATAAACCAAACAGGTACAAGAGCTCACTGAGCGCTCAGTGAGCTCTCTCTCTCTCTCCCCCTCCCTCCCCCCTCCTCCTCCTCCCTCTTTCTACACCCTGTTTAAAAAAAATGTTAAAAGTAAGAAAATGCAGTGCTTATTATAATTTTAATGAAATAAATAACTGATTAGTTCATCCTAAATCGATAATTTATTATAAAAACCCCAAATCATTTATTTTAGCTCTACACACACACTTTCTGATCTTTAACATTTCTTTAAACAAGATGTAGAGAGTGGGAAGGGGAGAGGGGAGAGAAGAAGAGAAATTGATAATTACAACCGCTTTGCCATCACCATCGTTCTCCCGTCGCGAATTCGTCAGCTTCACTCCGTCTTGCTACGTCCCTGTTTTCCTTCTATACCCGGACGCTAATTCGCTAACTTTAACATCATATAACAACGAACTGAAAGCTCAGATCAAAAAATGACTCAGAACTTTTCTACTTGGATTATTGTCGTGTATCTTATGATATGCTCCATATACGGTTTTTTAGTTACACCCTGTTAATAATATATAAAATGTGCAGTTGTATCATAGTTGACGCAGTTTGAAAAATTGTCAAAATGATAATAAAACTTTTTGTACCTTATGTAATAATAATATCAGTTAATAAGTAATGTGTAAAAAAGTACACTTATTGTAACATTTATAATAAGTATTATAAATGTTACGATAATTCTTATGTTCAAATTCAAGTTTTTGTGTATCATAAATGGTAAAGAATGAATGAGACATAAATGCTTATGTTTCATAAAAACGTGAATAAAGGGGGGAGCACAGACACTTGCGTAACGGTTAACACATAAGGTATAATAAGAAATTTAACCAAAGTTCTTTATTTCATGGAAAAGAAAAAAACAGAGGACTTTGATTGGTTCATTTTCTTATGCATTATGTGCTTTAAGTTATGCAAGAGTCTGTGCTCCCCGTCTAACCTTAAAAAAAATTCTCATCTTTTTACAATACTTTTATGAATTTTTTATGTACATTAAATTTGTAAAAATTTCTGAAAATATATCTTAAATTTTTTTCAGAAATAATAAAATGAGATATATAAAATTCATATATAGGAAGAAGAAAAAGTTTCGGACCAAAAATATTTCAAAAACAATATTTTTGAGAAAAATGTTTTTCCTATAAAAGTTGTGAGATTTAAAATAATCTATTACGGATTTGATCAGTTTGACCTTAGCGAAGTTACCCAAGTCAAACTAATTAAGTAAATGTAAAAATACAGAAAACCATTTATGTCTATAAACATTTATAATATTTTATAATTTCAGCTATAAATGTTAAAATAAAAAAATTTTCTTGAAACAACTACCTCCAATATCTTGGATGAAATATTTGTTTCTTTAGCTTCAACCTTATATTGTACAATATATGCACTAACATATTTTCATAATCATTTAAAAAATTTCAAGTAGTTCATTTTTAGATAGACATGTGAAATGCGTCATGTATATTTTTCTTTCCCGTAGGATTTTGAAAAAAAATACTCGTGACTAAATTGTTACTAAAGTTTCTACTCCTATCGACCCGCAAAAGTTATACATTATTTATAACTATGCTTATATTGAATGATAAGGTTAAATTAAATCAATATTTAGATCGCAATTCTACATAAGGTGTCTGTTTCTTTCAACGTACAATAGATTAACTTTAATTTTGACTTACTTTACTCTTTATTTTTTCCTAATTCTTAGAACAAAAAAAGATAATAGGCAAATTAAATTAAAATTAATCTATTGGTTGGAACACAAAAATTCGTAGCACTACTTCATTTGTACATCTATCGTGTTTAAAAAAAATTTAGTAATTATACAATTTGATAGAGCAATCGAACTCAAAATTCCTTTCATTTAATCCGTGGTAACTCAGTAACAAAAAATTCTTACACATTTTTTAAAAACAATTTGTAAGGATAACTTCAAGCTTTCACATTAGAAAATCAAAATTTTTTTAGGCACGTGACAAACTAGAAAGAAATTTCCCATTTTATCATCCAGCTACTTCTTTATACATAAAAATGACCAAATTCGCAGAAACACAAAAGCTACAGTAATCTTTCAAAAGCAAAGATTTTAAGCTTTAAAACCTTTTCGTTTTTATATAATATTTTAATTTCTTTTATTTTTAACAAAATTACAGTTGTTTAAATTTTAAAATTCGTAGCGCTACTAATTTTTGTTTCAATCATAAATGATAAGAACGAGTCTATCAAGCGATAATAAAAACTAGATTAGTACAAGGATTGATTAAATGCAACGATTGCAAAGGTGCAGTACTTATTGATTTCCTGTCATTTCCTGCTTCATATTAACTCCTGCAAAACACGCAACCAACAAGTATCTTCTTTATTGCAAATATTAGATTCTTCACAACTAATATTCCCTTTATAAAAATATTGAGGAGTTATTTAATGCATATTTTTATAAATTTTAATATATTTTTGTACAATTATATTCTGAATAAATTCGATATGAGGCTTATAGTTAATCCTTCAATAATAATAACTAATTAAAAATAGTAGTTAATTAATACTTCATAATTACTTGCATGTATAATAAAGAATAACACTACATTTTTTAGAAGATATTATGATTTAATTTGTGATTTAATTTTATTTATGTGATTATATATTAAAATTTTTAACCTTTCGGAGCTAAGGTCAAAATTTATAACACAATTACTGTGTGACGTTGGCTTTCTAAGGCACTGTGCGCAATCAAAGAATTAAGAAACAGGGAATAGAAAACAAGGATTTTAACCTACCTGAAACCTGTACCTATTTATGGAATACACAGATTGAAATTCTTAGCTGTTTTCTGTACCCTATTGTATTCTGTACCCTTTGTGCGCAGTCCTAAGACTCATTTAATCTGTTAAACAAAAAGAACACAAAGACATTGGGAGAACATGTTATTCATCTAAATGATCTCAATCACTAAGGCGCAGTTTCACCAATGTAAAATTAACTTCACACACACAATTCATCTTTTACTGTTAATTTTATTAACTATTTATATATAAATATATTTATCTTATTTTTTATGTTTATCTTTTTTTCTATATTTATCTTATTTTCTATATTTTCTAAGAATTAGAAAAAAAATAAATAATAAGTTAAACGGAGTTCAAAGTTAATCTTACGTTAGTGGAATCGAACTAAAAGTTTGTTTCTACTAATGTAAATTAATTTTATATTCTTGAGTTAATTTATTCTTTATCTTTTTCTAATTCTTAAAAAAAAAGATAAAAAGTAAGTTAAATTGAGATTGAAATTAATCTATATTAGTAAAATATAGCTAATGAGTCAAGTTGAAAATAGATTAGCTGGACTACATAACCTTGAGAGAAACATTGCATGCACATTGCACAATGTAAAATAAACAAAACCATGGATCGCGTACAATCTCAACCTTATCACGCAGGCTTAATTTCAAGAAACCAAAATAACATAACTCCAATGTAAATGAATGAATACTAAGTATATTTTACTAAGAATAATCCAAAATTGCAAATATAACAAATATAAAAATTAAATTGTTTAATATTTTTGACAAAGAAATTTATAATTGAATGGATCCAATAGATTCACTATCAGTTCCAGTAGATCAATAAGATAATAAAATTATTCTGAAGTTTTACATTTTAAATTAGAATATAAGTAGACAATATCACTATCATGTATATATACGTATAATTATTTGTTTTTTTTTGTTAGAGAAATATCGAAACAGAAGAAAAAAAAGATATACTACATAATTCTATATATTATAATCGGTCCAGTACTAGCAAACTACTAGTCCAGTGCTGACTAAGTATTGGATGATAACTTCGACTCAGTACTAATAGATAGTACTGCCAATAAAAATGAGTTTTAGCCAATCATTTGCCAGTAATGGCCCTGTATTAGCTGACAGAACTTTGGTTGTCATTTGTCAACCAGTTATTTACCAGTGATGGCCCAGTACTGATTAACAGAACCTTTACCGTCAGTTAACAGTCGTAACATTGGTTAAGCGTTGTTTTCGTTGTAACTACTGGCGACCTGCTGACGCCATATAGGATATAACAAGAATTACGATATGCGATCTTATATTCAAGATCGTCATAGATATGATTTCATTGACTAGATAAAATCTTAAAACTGTCTATAACTAAACATAAGACGATCTTGAATATAAGATTGAACTGTAGGTCCTCTAGGATAAGTTTAATCTTAAATTCAAGATTGAACTCTAAGAATTCTATGGTAATATTTATAGTTCAATCTTAAGTCTTATGTCCATGATTGTTCCAAGATCATGAAAAGAGAAAGAATTGATCAAACACACTGGTCAAATGGTCAAATTCTTTTTCCATCCGAGAACTCAAACCGTTTCTAACATCGTGGATATAAGGCTTTATGTTGAAGAACATCTTAAATTTAGTCATAAATGCTTTAAAACTGTAATTAATCAATACGGTGCAGTATCACAAGATCGTACAAAAGTATGTTTACTGATTTCCTATGTCACATTAATGTTTACAAGGTGACATAAAGTGCTATTTTATTTACATATTTTTGCCATACAACAAATATGTGCAGGAATAAGAGTTCTCCGATCTCTCTATTCTATAGCCAATCACACTTAAAAAATTTGTCATACGGCAGAAACGCACAAATAAAAATTATAAGATCACAGAGTAGCTTCTTTGCTACAAATCTTCCTCTGCAACAAAATCGATTAGATTTTGCAACAAATATTTTCATTGCAAAAATGTCTAATTTGTACTATCGAACGAAGGCTAATGACAAATTTAGCAGACATTAACTTTGTCCTGGGGCTCTAAAGATTGCTATATATGAAGATATCTTTAAAAGTAACTTAGAGCAAGTATCAATTAACTTAATAAATTATTATTTAAATTAACACACAGATTTGTCTACTGCAAAATTGCTAATTACATGACTTGTTATCCTTAATCTAATCTTTCTCTCATATAAAAATTTGATCCTTAAGAAGAAAAATAAAATTGCAAAATCGTAAGACAACTTTCTATCTTTTTATATTACTTTTTCTCATCATTAGATAAATATATATGCGAATAATCTCTTTATTTTCTTGTATCATCTTGATGTATCTGATGTTTTTTTTTAATTAACAACAGGCTTGTTAATAAACTTTAATGAATTTTAGATATGAAAAAAGTTAGTCTTTGCAACTTTAATTGCTCATAATCTTCGATATAACTAAAATGTTTTGAAACCAAACAATCAAATCATAACTTATTTATTCTTGATTAGTGAATAAGTTAATCACTGTTTGGTTGAAGCCATTTTAAAAATCTCTCATCAATCTTCGGATATTATAAAATTATTCAAATATTCAATAGATCCCCCCCCCCCACCCCCCCCTATAAAAATTATTCAATTTCCTAGATTTCTATCGTGTTTTCTAGAAAAAACAAAATAATTTTGATTAGAATCCATTCTGTTCCAATTCTTGTTCTACAAGGTAGTTAAGCTAACCAAATAATAAACTCGTAAAAGCGCCAATAATAGGTTTGTTCTAACATGGTTCATTTTTTTCCATTTTTTTCTTTACATTGAAAAGAAAAAGAGAAAAGATAAATCATGTAAGAACTTTAGCTAAAAAAAACAAACTTAATGCCAATAATACTTTAATCAATCAGAATTTCTTTCACTTCCTCTTCAGAGATTAATATCATGTAACTTTTTTCGTACTATGGAAATAAGAAAAGTGAACATTTTTTTGTATATATGTATGTGTATATATGTGCATATACATACACAAATATTTTCACTTTTCATGATTCCACTTTAGAAAAAAAGAGTTATATGATCAATTCTCCGCAACTATATTTATTTTTTATGTTGGCAATCATGATATAATTATCAATAAGTGATAATTGAAGTTGATTATAAAAGAAACTTAACATATACATTTTTACCAATAGAAATTAACTTTGATTTCGATTTTACTTTTATCTTTTTCTATTTCTAAGAATTAGAAAAAAGATAAGAGTAAATTAAAGCGATAAAGTTAATCAAATTAGTAAAAATGAATATAAATAGAAAAGTGTAACCAGAGAGAAGTGTAACACAAGCATTTTAACAACAAAGTATCCAATGCATACAATCTGTTAAAAATAGTAAAAATACGATACGAGATATTTTATCGGTCAAGAGATTTCTGTTTTTTCTCTTTGAGCAACTTCGTATATGAAAACCCAGGGTGCATCAGTGCGAAGTAATGAAAATATATGACTCAAATTTACCAAAAGTACTCTACTGAGATTGCATCCTAAAAAGCAGTGTTGTGCATAGATGATTTTAAAATTAGCTAGATAAAGATAAGATGAAAATTTGGAAATTTATCTTAGATAAGATAAAGATGATTACATTTAAATTAATCTAGATAATATAGATAAATTTATCTGACAATTCATCTAAAAAATTCCAGATAATTTTTTATTTTTAAGACTATTTATAAATTAAGAATCAGTTTTTTCTCAAAATAATTAAAAAATCACGGTGGTCCTCGATTGAATTCAACCCTGACTTTCCTGCACCTCTGATTTTCCTTCTGGAATTGGTTTTGGAACATTTCAGGACCATTTTGCAATAAATATTAAAATCGAAGAGTGAGCACTTTTTTTTAAATCGAATTTTTAAGTTTTAATCCATAGTTTCAATATAATCATTTCAAGCGTACATGTGGAAGGTAATTAAGTACTGAACGAAATGTAATTATTGTATATATTTTCTTCGAATTAAATATATATGTAACAAATAGCAAATAGTTAATTGAAACTAAAATATAAAATGAAGAACTTATTACTATACTTATATATTTATGAACGCATATAACACGTAACCGCGCGATTGTTTACGTACAAAACAAAACATACACACACACACACACCACCACACCCATCCACACATACTCACACATACACATACAGGCACACGCACAAACGCATGTAAATATATAATTTTAAAAAATATGCAAAATAATTAAAATTCGTTCACATTGAAACATAAAAACTCGATTTAAAAAAAAGTGCTCACTCTTCGATTTTAATATTTATTGCAAAATGGTCCTGAAATGTTCCAAAACCAATTCCAGAAGGAAAATCAGAGGTGCAGGAAAGTCAGGGTTGAATTCAATCGAGGACCACCGTGAAATATTAAATTTTACAATTTTAATATGTAGATAATACTTCGTTTGTCTCTTACAATGTCTCTCACAATTTTCAAAAAAATAATGAAGAACACATAAAAATTCTATACAGTCCTTTTCCTCTATATTAGTTGCATGAAAGCAAGCATGTCATAATCATTACGGTTATGAATAATAGTGTATCTTATAATATTAATAATAACATTCTTTTAAATATAGTGAAAGACACAGGTCAAAAACTTTTTTCGATTTCGGATTAGTGTCATCCATGAATCGAGCATCGCGCACTACGATAAAACATCAACGAAGTGAGAAGTAGGAACAGTAGAGCGTGAATACCGACACGATACATTTCGATTTCGAGCAAAAAAAACACCGACTTTGGGCAGCTCTGGGTTAATCAATCAGAATTAAGTGTCCTAGTGCAGGAATAAAAAGATCATTTGAGAGCAATGTGAATGATTATATATGCTATATTAGATGCACTCACTCTCTTCCTGAGGCTGAAAATTTTTCTGTAAACATTAACTGCATAGAAGAAAAAATTATAATATTTTCACATTTTTAGCAATGTAAAATATGAACCAAAGTATCTAAACATTATTCTAGATAAAGATGATACTTTTTTTCATCTAAAATGCAGATAAAGATAATTAATATTTTTATTATCTAGATAAAGATGAGATGGCATCAAAATTTCATCTAGATGATCATCTAGATAATTTTATCCAGATAAGATCGAACACTGCTAAAAAGATATTCCAGTTGATACGATTCCCGATTAAAAAGAAATTGAGAAACTATTTCAAGACATGCTGTGTGCGAGCACGTAAAATGTCGCATCGCCATAGACGACCCCCGCATTCGTGTGTCCGAATATTCCGCAACGGGCGAGAGAATAATGGTATATTCGTAATACTCACAACTGATGCAAATCCGAAAGAGATCCTTGTTAACGTACGCGGCACTATGCAGGGCATCTACACTACGCTCGTGCTGACCGAATTCGAATATTACACGACAAACATCGCAAGCAATCGCAAGCGCTTGCAAAATGCTTCACATTAACGTTACATGTTATACCGACTGGTACGCTGTGGCCCGTATTCAGAACGCGCTAAGAACGATGGTTAGCGCGCTGACATGCTACAGTTTACGTCACGTATACTATAGAATTTCAGAGATAAAAGCGCGCTTTTATCGATAAAAGTGCATTCTGAATACGGGCCTGTATGTATAGCACTTATGTTATGCCTAGTTCACACTAGGCGCGATGAGCGATGCGCGACGAGCGATAATCAATAAAGGAGCCTACAGACCAAAGCGGCGCAGCGGTGAAGCGGCGAGCGATAGCCAATGAGAGCCATGCTTTTACGCAAGCTGGTCTGTAGGCTCCTTAAGGCTACGCACAATGGAGGAACAGATATTAAATATGAAAATATCAACCTATCAGAATCGTGGATTCCGGTGTAACTAGTATCTGGATAGGTTAATATTTTAATAATTAATATCTGTTCCTCCATTGTGCGCAGACCCTTAAATTCTTATATTTAATATCTGTTCCTAATATTTCTCCTATTGTGCGCAGTCCTAAGTCTGTTCTTTATTGCTGAACTCTTGCACACCAGGTCACTTTTTTTTCCTTTTAAGGATGAAAGATAAACTAAAGTCTACGGCACACGGTGCTTGTTTTCCTGCTGGATTGCTAGCTGGATTAGAATCTTGCCACCGTATTGGCTGCGGTGCTGAAAGTGCCAATATCGCAGCCAATCCAATGGCAAGAATCTGATCTAGCTAGCAATCCAGCAGGAAAACAAGCACCGTGTGCCGCTGGCTTAATGCAAAAGTTCAGCAATAAAGAACAGACCTGTTGACTGCACATCGGATTGGCTGTTGCAACAAATTTGTGACCTGCGATGCCTACGATACGACCAATGTAGAATGGACTTTACGTTTTTCTGTGCCATGGGCTTGACAGTCTGACGTTCGATTCGATTGTGTCAATAGGTTAGGTCGAAAGTTGTCGTGGCCGTGTTTGTGAGACAGGTTCTTTCTCTCTCGCATTCAAACATCGTGAAATCATGCTCGATCTTTTTACAATATTCAGCAAAGGTGGCATAGTGCTCTGGTGCTTCCAAAGCACATCTCAGATTTTTGCGCCCAGCGTCAATGCCCTGATAAGAAGTGTTATATTGCAAGTGAGTCGCAAAAATATATTAACAGGCACACGTCTATGTCTGGCGACCTTTGACCCTAAATTGCGTGATGCATTTCCTCAATTTCTTCACGTAAAACTCACCTTATTCGAGTTATTTAATTGACAATAATCCTCTGTAACAATTCTGTTTATTTAAAAAAAATGCCGCAATTCTATAAATATCTGTCCTTACATCTTCAGATTTTAATTTTTTTCTGAATTTATTATTTTCATGAAAAGTTGTATTATATAAAAGATTGAATGTATAAAGCTTTGTTTAAAACTGTTTCAAAATGTTCAAATGTTTATTGATTTTACAAATTAATTATACATAATGCTAAAGACAATGTTGTTAGGTTAAATGCACCATATGGTTGAAAATCTAATTATCAAATTTAATTATATATTTTGTGAAAGATTCTTTATTCTGCAAAATAAAATTTTAAAAATTGGATATTAGATATAAGAAACAAGTATTTCCTGTATCTTATATTTTTTTTTTAAGTTACATATTTGAATAATAATTCTTTTGTATCTCTTAACAAGTAAATATTAGTATTGGGTACAACTGAGACTTTTATCTCTATATAGTATATATATATATATACTTTTATAAAAAATATTAAATACAACTACACTAGATTGAACAATTAAATATTATATGAAATAAATTTTTACCTGTTTTCCTTATAAAATGTTATTGGAATTTCCAGTTTCTATACAATTTAAAAAGTAAATTACGAATTGTTATAAAAATTGGTTTTTTTAGGAACGTACAGGGAATCACAGCTTTGAGCATGACTCCCTTCGATTACAATATAAACTCGACAATGAGTTTGAGTTGGTATTTGTAGTGGCATATCAGAAGATACTACAGTTATCTTATGTGGATAAATTCCTAAATGATATCCACCTAGAGTTTAGAGATCGCTTCAAAAATGAGCTCGAGAACTCAAGCTGGTTTACCAATTTTGAGTTCGAACAAGTTTACCATATGGTACTTGAACGAGCTGAACACTGGTCACGTTCACAGGCTAAGATACCGAAGCAAATGCGTACTTTTGATGAAAGTCTGAAGTCCAAAAAGACTATTGCTAGTATGATTGAGAGGAAAAGTGACAAGGATGATAAGAAGCCAGGTATAGCCATAACTAACAGTATAACAATTACTTTGTAATGCAATAACAGTATACATAGCTTTATCTATTTTTGAAATAAATGAGCTTGAATTTTAAAATTTAAATAATTTAAAAAAAAGGTGCAAAAGAAGGGTAAATTTTATTTGTAGTCATTCATAATATTCAGGTTTGCTGTATAGGGGAAAATTCAGAAATTACGAAAATAAAATTTATAACAACATCCTAAGGAAAAAAGAAGTATAGTATAGTATAATAAAAGGGTAGAAGTATCGCGTGCTTGTTTTATTTTTGCGGTATGAAACAGTAAGCAAATTTATGTAACATTTAGAATTGTAAGCTATTCTTGTTTACTAATTTTCTTATTTTGATCTGGGTAATACTAAAACAATAGGGATTTTCTTCTTCACTTCTAGGTAAAAAGAAGAAAGCAAATAATTGTAATGGGGATTATCATAGTAAGTAGACTTTTATGTTTTATTTATAATATCATAGTAGTTTACTAAATTCTTGCATGTTTGTGCAGTATTGCGTATCTTAATATTATATAATATCCACAATATTGCATGAATAAAATAATAAAATTAACAAATTTAATTTTGTTCCATTAAAGTTTTGTTTGAAATAGTTCTCTTTATTCAGTAATTTGTATTAAATCAAATATATTTAAATCCTGCAGCAAAAATTCAAGATGTTCCAAAACAAGAATTGCCAAAACATCAAATGGAACGTAATGGGGAACTTGACGAAGAAACATTGATCGCCAATCGTATGAAACTCGCTCAGAAAATGGCAGGACAAAAGAAGAAAGCTGACAAGCAGTACGTGTATATTATCTTCTTAATTATATTAATATTAAAGAAAGTAATCTTCCAGATTTTGTAAACTGAATTAATAAAATCTTTAATATAGGTCATATTATTTTAAAATTATAAAAGTTAAATATACCTCCCAGGTCAAACATATTATTTTAATTTTATTTTTATAAAGAATGTTTTTTATTTCTATTATATAAAAAATATATATAACAATAAATTTAAAAAATTATAAATAACAAAAGCAAATATTGTATTAGGAAAAGTCCTAAACCTGAGAAAGCTGGCAAAAAACCACGCATCTGGGAACTAGGTGGCACAACTAAGGATCTTGCTACATTAGAACGAACTAAAGACAAGCCTGAGGATAATGATGACTATGTGGCAGCCAATACAGCTGTAATATTTTTTCTTTTACATTCTTTTAATATCAAGTTTATTGAAAAATTTGTTTTCTATTTCAATTTTGCTAATAGAAAATCTTATGAATTTTTTTTATTAAATTTGATATCTAACTGATATAATTAATCCCGTTTTGTCTTTCTATTTTTTATTTTTTTTAAATTGTGTGTACAAAAATTCAAAAAATTTTATATAACTGTTAGCGAATATATAATGAATTAATTCTTACAATAATGGATTGAAGAATTCAATTGAAAAAGAACAAACAAAAAAAAATATGAAGGAAAAAAGATACATTGAATAAACCGACTTTTAGTCGAAAAAATTAAGATTTATGTTTTCATTATTTATATAGCTTATTTGTATTCTCATTATTTTCTGTAGCTAGTTGGACAGATGAAAGGTAGCATACGCGATCTTGAGGTGAACAGCGAATCTGAGGATAGTTCCGATCAGGAAGAGACAGAGCAATCCAAACAGCAAGTGCAAAAGAAAACGAGTATGTTCTCTATGTTTAAAAGTTTAGTCGGCAGTAAATCTCTAAAGCAAGAAGATATGTTGCCGGTTTTGGAAAAACTGAAGGATCATCTAATTACTAAAAATGTTGCTGCGGACATCGCACAGAAGTTATGCGATTCTGTTGGCACAAAGTTGGAAGGAAAGATACTTGGCACTTTTGATAGCGTGGCAAACACTGTGAAAGTTACTCTAACAGAAGCTTTAGTTCAGATACTATCGCCCAAAAGAAGAATCGATATTCTACGAGATACTTTAGAAGCTAAGAACAGCAGCAGGCCTTATGTGATGACTTTTTGTGGCGTCAATGGGGTCGGCAAATCGACGAATTTGGCAAAAATCTGTTTTTGGTTAATAGAAAACAATTTTCGCGTGTTAATAGCTGCATGCGATACATTCAGGTAAATGAATATTATCTCATAAACATTCTCTCTTGAAATACAATATTTTTTTATATTTTTTTTTTGTATGCACACATATACATTTATTTTACTTCTAAAATGAATTTTTTAAGGTATTAATTTGTTACGTATATAAGTGCCTCAATTCTATCAAAATACTTCAATTCTAATAAAAATTGATATATAAGCTTTAATGATTAATGACAATAATTTGGTAATTCAGAGCTGGAGCTGTTGAACAACTGAGAACGCACATGCGTCATTTAAATGCTCTACATCCACCGGAAAAGCACGGAAATCAATCAATGGTACAGCTTTACGAAAAGGGTTATGGTAAAGATGCCGCAGGTATTGCCATGGAGGCAATACGGTTTGCGAAGGATTCTAAAATCGATGTTGTCCTGGTTGATACTGCTGGTAGAATGCAAGATAATGAACCATTGATGCGAGCTTTGACAAAGCTAATTAAAGTAAACGAGCCGGACTTGGTATTATTTGTGGGAGAAGCTCTTGTTGGAAATGAAGCTGTGGATCAGCTGGTGAAATTTAATCAAGCCTTGGCTGACTATAGTCAGTCTACCAATCCTCATATTATCGACGGTATCGTGTTGACAAAGTTTGATACAATCGATGATAAAGTAAGTTTCTTTTCTATTATATAAAAGACTTTAATTACGTATTTCCTTTTTTTTTTTAGAACCTCTTTAATTTTTATGTCAATATTCAAGTATTCAGACATCCATTTCAACTTTCTACTCAAAATTTTAATAGTTTTCGTTTAAATATCACTAAAGAATTTCGGATTTGCATTATTTACATCTATAAAGTGGACTAAATGGAGTCAAAAGTTCCGTACTATTTTGCAATTTTCGCAAATGTTACAAGCAATAAGAAATTAATTTAAATTAATTCTTGAATGTTTTGCCAGATAAGTGTATTTGCTTGATCTACTACCAAAAGCAAGCATATAGTAAAATATAATCATCTAATGCAGAGATATTTTCATTCTGCGTCTGCGTTTGTAAACTATGTTTCGCGATTTGTGAATTATAGAAATATGTAAAAACACCTTTATACCGCTTATAGTAAACAATAAATTCTTTGTTAACTATTGCGAAAATTACAAAATAATAGAGGACCATCTGACTCAATTTAGTCTGCTCTACCTGATCATAAGAGATACCGTCATTTTTGGACATCCTGTATAATATGAAAAAAAAAATATATATATATATAAAATATCTATTATTCTTCTATTATTTTGTAGCATTTACAATCGTTTCTCATAAATATTATTTGCAGGTTGGAGCAGCTATTACAATGACATACATCACTGGTCAACCTATTGTTTTTGTTGGAACCGGCCAAACTTATACCGATCTGAAATCATTGAATGCCAAAGCGGTGGTACACGCTTTAATGAAATAAAAAAATATTACAAGCAATAATAAATTTCTACAGGCATTCTACTTGCAATATGTAGATTTTATTTAAGCTTTGTTATATGTTGATGTTACAGTCAAGCTTTTATGTTATGTGCAGAAATAGTTTATTGTTTGGCCAAACTGTCAAATGAAATCTAAAGGAAAAAATTAGGAACGGATATTCTGATCTAATGAATAAATATGAAAACCCGACTGTACAAAATTTTGCAAAGTGCATCGCACTGTTGTTACAAAAAAAAAGAAAAAGAGAAAAAGGACTGCATTCTCAATTAATATGTTAAATTATTGTAAACAATTGGATTTGTCAAATAAAGTTGAATATTTCACAGTTTAGAAGTAGTTTTTGTTCCACGAGAATACATTTGTTGAAGATTTATTTACGTCATGTACTCGAACATGCTTCCATCATCCTCACTCCAGCACGCTCATAGAGTTTTCTCTTGGCTGCACCAGTGTAAGGTGATTGCACCAGTTCATCTTTTTTCCTTTTCCCTTCTCCTAGAGAGAAAAGGAAGAAAGATGAACTAGTGCAAAAGTTCAGCTGAGTGTTGCACTGGTGCAGCCAAGAGAAAACGCTATTAGAATGATTGCGTTTAGAAGAGAAAGTAAATAATATATCGCGAGTCAATCGCACCGAGCGGTGAGCCACTCGACGCCACATGATTTGAAATAAATACAATTAAAATGTATAAAAAATTTAATAAATTAATAATATAATTGAATTATAGACTCTTGTATGTTTTAAAACAATACAAAAAATTAAGTAAATACATAAAGGCTGTTAAGAATCAACGCTGTTAGCAGTGCGCAAAATACATATATAATCTTAAAATCTATACATAGATGTGGCGTCGAGTGGTTCACCGCTCTGTGCGATTGACTCGCGATTTGTAGACCCGAGTTCAATCCCACGTGCGTCCAAACGCGATTTTTCGCGTTTAATGAGCCAAAAAATGGCTCCACCTGGTGATCAAAAGATCTATGATCATCAGCGCTGTTCGGATTCGGCGTTAAACTGTAGGTCATATACATATCAGTTATAGATATATTTGTCTCTAATATCTGACTGAGGTAGGATTCTGTGGATCAATCACCCACAAATCCGAAAAACAATCTGATTCGAGAAACGAATATAAGTCTCGGACAAAAGAGGAAGAGGCTTATAGACGTCCTATGCTCCACATAAGGAGATAAAAAAGGAGTCGTCGTAAACGAAAAGTGGAGTATTTCTCGTACTCGGATGTACGTTCGCGTCCTTACTAAACATAAAATTACTTCTTTAGGTATTTCGATTGGGCGTTTTACCGATAATAAAATGGATAGGGTAAGACGATCCATGTTATTTGTGTGGACGACACAGAAACGAAGAAATCAGTTTGCAATAAGTTTAACGACAAATGATGAAAATACATCGATTGCTCAAAATATTTAATAAAAATTAAAATTTGTCATTAAACTTACTGTTGGAGAAAGAATAATCGTTGAGGTAGTTCTTAGATGGCGCTAGATTTTAAAATAAGAATCCAATCTGCGAATTTACTGTGAACATGTCTTTATGATAGTGATGTTTATTTTTTCCTGAATCGTGTGCTGTTTTTTGTCTCTCGCGAGCTTCACTTCGACTGACGTTTGTTTGCCTTTCTAGGAGACAGCTCGCTCTGATTGAATGTAATAGTTTAGTTGAAATAATTCGTAATAAACTTTATTGTAAAACTAAAACCGAGGCTAATTCTTAACACTTACTTATGCAAACTGATTTCTTCATTTCTGCCTTGTCCACATAGGAAACATGATCCTCTTCCCCTATCCATTTTTTTATCGGTAAAACGCCCAATCGAAATACCTAAAGAAGTAATTTTATGTTTAGTAAGGACGCGAACGTGCATCCGAGTACGAGAAATTAATCGTCAAATATCATTGCAAAATAGAAAGAGAAAAAATAAGAAAATTGTTAAAATTTGTAAATAATTAAGTTCAGTATGTAATTTCACACGACTACGATTTTCTTTTCCTTTCAAAAAGCCCTCACAATTTTTTAGGTACTGCAATTTCATTATTTTTATACATAATGTACAATAATTTACAATATACGATTATTTATAATTAAATGTAATGTAATTAAATAATGTAAATAATTAAATGTTAATGTTAATGTCAATTTAATGTTAATTAATTAATTAATTAATGTAATGTAATTTTATGTAATTTTATTTAATGTTTAATTATACATGAATACAACATAATATTAATGCTACTAAATTTATTTAATTTAAAAAATATCAACTTTCCAAGAATGAACAGCATTCATTACGGATGTAAATTACGTATTAATTACTAATTATTTTCTTAATATACAATTTCATTTCTGATTTTATTACAAATTAAAAGTGTTATTAATTAAGTAATTAATAATTACAAGAATGTCCCACTCTGTTGAATTTTTTTATTATAATTATTTAATTTTATTATTAAGAATTATTGGTTTTTAATATTAATTGCAGTTTAGTTAATATATGTACGAATTGTCATCACAAATTTATACTTATCAATCATCATTGCCATAAAATCCTTTCGCTTATCTTAATGTATTGACGCTATCATGATTTACTTCTCTTTTAACCATTTAGATTTGCCGCGTAATGATGACGTAATGTGACGTCAGCTGGCTGCATTCTCATTGGTTGCTGGAATTATCATGCGCGTGAGCATACCCTTGTCTTTCTACCATGATCTCATCATCCTACCACATCCTGTGAAGTGCCATTTGGAAAAGAAAAATCTCTGATCTTTTCTTACATAATTCCACCTAATTATCAAATATAAATCCGAAATAGTGAGTAATTTAAAATTGTGTTAAACGTGAAGTTAAAAAAGCGTCAATTGTACTCTAACCATTTTCTCATGTAATTTATAATACTTTAATTTCTAGCGACAATTTTTATAAGTTATGTTTAAATCGTCCCTTTTTTCTTTTGAAGATCAGAATTGTGATTAGTCATATAAATTGTACTATTCCAAACTCATTTTATTCGCACTAATGACATACGTTATGTGAAATCTCTCTATTCATGTAATTTGATAAAATTATAACGAAAAGAAACCTTCCCATGATTTTGAAGGTTGCAAATAATCTTTTTGGATACCTGACCATGTATCTGTGTGTGATGTACTAACACTTTATACTGCAATTGTACTGAGATTTTTTACACATATTTGTTGTACTACATTACTATTGTTATTTATGTAGATAAGTTGATTGTGATTAATTTATTTGTTATAGACAACATGTTCCAAGGTACACATCGGCCCATGAAGTATCCATATACCTTAACTGCAAAGATTGCCCAGTTTCCGTTCAAATATTACATGCAGCATAGTTGGCTGTTTAAATATTTATTGATTAGCACATTCGTAACAATTCCCATTTTTTATAAGATTCAAAAATTATGTAAGTCTAACTGCTTGTATCAACGTTTGATTTAGAATGTATATCATCTACTGTGTTCTTGTTTTCAGCATATTCTCCTGCGAATGTTGAGAAGTGGGACAAAATTCATCGGGAAATGTTCTATGGCCCTCCAGATGGCCATCATTGAAATAGAAATGTAATCATTAGAAAATGATATTAAAACAGATGTGTAAGAAAAAAAGAATTTAGTCTTTTCTCTGTCGAATTAGAGCAAATAAATATGTAACTGTATATGTGAAATAAATTATGGATACAAGGGAATTGTAAAAAAAATCTATTCAGAAGTTTGGTTATCAAAATGATCATATAAAATATACATAACTAAAAAGAACGTATTTTTGGGATTATTACAAAATACAAGAAATTTTATACCAGCCGCCATACAAATCTAACCTAAAAATTTAAAATGTTAAAAATAAACTAAATAAGTAAAAAATAAGTATCATTGACAAAAACAGAAAGTTACATGGATATTACAAAATATTTGAAATGACAACGCTTCATTTAATAACAATCAGAACACACAGTACAAAAGTATCCAATTTTATTGTCTGGATCTACAAACATAAATTTTTATAAACGACGCTTCTAAACTTATATTTTATTTTTTGAAAGCCGTGCTCGTATTCTATTATTAAAGCTCGCGTACAGACGATCTCGAGAAAAGCAAAATTTATAGTGACTTACCATGTATATAATTACGCGATTCTTAATAACTATGGCAATGAGTATATATAAGTTGCCGCTTTATATGATTAATAAAATAATAAATAAAATTGATGCGAGAATATATCGAGCATCTCTTTCAGTTTATATCTATAACGAAAATAGTGCAATTCTTGTACTGTCGAAGCAAATGAAAACTATAAATCAGCTGTACGTCATTATTTTGAAATGCTTTGTGCATGAGTAATACATCTAAAATTATATGTATGTGCAGCTATATGTATTCTTGTAAATAATACTGTGTGTACGTCTTTATTACAAGAAGCCTCAAAGAAATCGACCCATAGAAGAAAAAGAACAAAAATTGCAATACATACATTTGTATTAGTGATTATGCAGAATAAATTCTCATAATTCATCATAATTGTACTATTCCGTTTTTTGTCAGTGTAATTTTATATTACTCTGTCGAAAGAATCAAAGTATATAATTTACAATTGTGCCGCAGTCGCAGGATCAGTGTAAATGTGTGATCTGCACGCACTGAGAAAAATAGTTTGATTGTATCAACAAGATGTATTTCACCGAAACGTTGCAGATTGCCCAGACGTACTGCCTGCGTCAACAGAACATCTTGAGCTACATACAAAATCTTTCAACCGCTCAATATCGGTATACAAGTCCACATATATGGTGAGTTCAAAATATATAAAATATGAGCGGCTCTAGATTTAAATTTTATGAGTATACATCGTAATGAAATTATAGAATGTATGTATATTTAATCTTCGTTATATATTCTATCTTTTCTTCTGCACTTCTCTTTCGTCGTCATCGCTTTCCGACGTACTGTTTTCTTCGACATCGCTGTTCAATCTTGGCCTCTTAATCTTGGTTTCTTCTTGAAAAGATCCATCATCAAAATTCAAGCCGAATTCTTTACAGCGTTTCTCGAAGTACTTGCGTAATCGCATCCCTGCACTATACACGTAACTATTTTTAACAAGATATAGCCTTGCTTCTTATATGTGCATTACCAAATTGGTTCGGAGGCAAAAGATTATTTACATTAATAACAGCAAAGCCCTATTTGTATCTAAGTTCTAGATAAAGTAACATGTTCGCAAATTTTATGAGATATAAAAATCGAATTCATCCATTAAGAACAACCACAAAATAGTTAATCCATTTATCTATAATTTGTAAACTATCTTTTTATGTTACAATAATGTTATTTTATCGAATTATAACCCTAAATTTGTTGATTTTTTAAATATTTGATTACATTTATAATATTCTGTAAATCTAATTTGAATCACACCTAAAAGTTCTATTAAGAACTTTTACTTATCATACACCAAATCAAAATTATAATATAATAGAAAAAATAATAGAGGTGTCAATTTATTATTTTGTTATTAGTAATTATATGTGATATTAATTACATTCAATGAGTGTGTTATCATTAATAATGTAGAAAATACTAATTAGCATTGTAATCTCTGGCATCCGAACTTGCGTGAAATAAATAACGATAACATTGATACCTACTTGTAGACAGTACTATGTTCTTTGTTGTACAATCCGCAGTTCTCAAAGACCAACTGGCAATCGCTAAAAAATTTATCTAGTGTCTCGTAGTCGCCATTACCAAGTTTGTACTTGATAGTTCCAAAATCCATTGGATTGGAGATGATATCGTGATAGTCTGGAACCTCGTCCTTTTTAACAGGCGATAAAAATGGCCACGAATCTCTATGATGCCAGATTTCGATCAATAATTCTTGCAATCTAGTCATAGATCCCTTAATGGAATTCTTATCTCCTTGTTCAATCTCGGCGGCTCTTTTAGTCGCACGACGCGTTTGTCTTGGTTCAGTATCATCCGATGTACTGCTATCTGTATATTAAAAAATTTTTATATTAGTACATTACGTTTTTGTCATTGCAATTCAAAATTATTTACTAAACTTGAAGTCTATATTAAAAACTAAAGTTCTATTGATGATATTTATGTGATAGATGAGTTAGCAATAGCTGACGAATTTCATTACCAAGATGATATAATATATCAAGCATTTATATGATGGAAATCAAGCATCTATGTAATGCTATGATAGGATCTGTCCCCTAATAAGTCCTAAGAATTTATCTAGTATCTCATAGTCGCCGTTATCACAAGTTTGTAGTTGAGATAGTTTTAAAGTCCGTAAGTTTTACTCAAAAGTCAGAACTGTATGTATGTGTGTGCATAAGTGCATATATTATTGTGCCATGATATTTCAAATTAAAATATTCAATTTTATATAAAAATATTATATGCGAAATGTATAACGAAAGACTTATACATTTTATTCAGAAATAAATCGATATAATAAAATTAATCTAGATTTATATTAACATAAATCTACAGTATTTATATATTTATCAAATTTATTATAATTTGATTTTCCAGATACATTAACGAAGATATATTTCGAAAACATAAGTAACAAATACGTAATCTAATATAAAAGTATAAAAAATAATTAAAAATAAATGTGAAAAAATGACAAATTTATAGTAAATAATTCATTATTTGATTACATTCGTCTGTAATCTCAAAATTCAGATAATCAAAAATTATAAGAACTGTTTATATGTTAATAATGAATAGATTTTTATTTCTTTTAATGTGCGGTGCTTTTTAAAAAAGAAAAAAATTGGCCATGAAGATGCACATATATACGTATATATTAACACAAAACAAAAGGAATACAATACAGACCGTCCCAGTCTGTAGAGTCTGTAGTGAGGAGGCTCTTAGCAAAGCCATGGATGCGAGAGCGTGCTGCTGCTGCGCACAGCCTCTCCGTGTTTCTTTCTCTTTCACGCCCCCTCACTATCAACATAATTTTAACGCTAAGAAACTTTTTCTTATAATATTCTTACATCACTTGTCTAATAATTTCATCTACATTAAACGCGGAAACTCTTTTTCTTAAATTATAACAGAAGAATAAACCTTAAGACATTTTCGTCCGCGTATATTGCTCCATTATTATTTTTCTGTTACCTTTAGTCGCGTTCTTTTTTCTATCCTTGCATTTGGTACAAGACCATCTGCCTCTAGGAGCTCTGTACAATGGCGGTTCTACACATTCTAAATGAAAACGATTTGGACATGTATCACAAGCAATCAATTTTCCACCATTGTTACAGGATGCGCATAAGTTTTCTAATCGTATATTTCTAAAACAACAAAAGAAAGCAAATAAACATTAATAGGAATATTAAGCTAATGTAAAATTTTAATGCTACGGAAAGATAACTTACATGTCTTCTTCACTTTCGTCATCTTCATCTTCTCGGTCGGCCTCATCGTCGCTGTGCGGTACGCGCTTCGCGCGATTCTGTCGCGTCTCTTTGGTTAATATCGTCTCTTCTTCGATCTCATCCTCGAATCTTTTCCGCTTTTGAATTTTTTCTTTGGGTTTTATCTCTGGTGGTCTACATGCTTTACAAAACCAATCTCCCGCTGGTACAGCCTGTATGTAAAAAAATAACAAAGAAATAACATAATAATAGTTTAGTCAAATCATTATTGTGAAAGCATTAGTATAATGAACTATTCATTACAGTAAGTTTTGGTTTCAGACAATAGAGATGATGTCCCCTGTTGCATCCATCGCAAAGCAACATGTTCTCCGCATCCCTACGTCTTCGACATATACGACACTGAGCGTTTAATGCGCTTTTGTGCCACGCGACGCTATTATGCAAGGTGCTTAAGTGAACAAACAACTGGGACCAGTTCGTGGATGCTATCAATGATTGTTCCCATTTCTCTCGTGCCTCCTCGCCCGATTTTTTATCCTTTTGATCGGGCCCTAACGGTTTTTGTAAGTACCTCTGTTCTATAGCGTGAGACAATTGCAAAATGGAACAAGCTAGTTGTTTGATAGTCGCTTGTTGCCTTTGATCGGGCATCATTTCATCATCACCAGGTAAACCTAAGTACATTCCTGGATCCTTGTAAGTCTTTATGCTAATACTCCCAACCTCAGAATCAGGGGTACCGGGTCTACTATGTTTAGATTCGTTCTTTATTTTATCTATAAGAGCATTAGGTGGTGCATCAATATCTATTTCACTACCGGCGCACATTAATTTGTCGCACTGTTTGTCGTAACTTCTCTGTGTGATCGCATTTCTCCAGACAGCGCGATCAATAATTTTAAGGTATCCTAAACAACCCGCATTAATTTTGTCTTCAAAGTCCAAAATATGATCTCTCAAAGTTAATTCCATTACGTCATCAATAGGCATATCAGAGGGAAAATTCAAGTTTGCGTGTTCATATTTATTTTTCTTAACTGCTTTACTAACTTGTCCTTTACTGGAATCTGAAAACTACGTACAAATATCCAATTACTTTTCGTATTTTAAACACGCGCGCGCACACACAAGGTCCGCCAAAAGTCCTAGGCCACTTGAATAATTTTTAAATGGTTTAAGATTTAGAATTGAAATTTACAGAGATACAATGGGATCATAAAATCATCATTGAACCTCAAAAACATCCATCATAACATTCCTGGGGGAAGATG